TCAATTCCTTAGCTTTCCGGGCTCCTTCCATAACTGCACATATCTCAGCTCTAAGGGAGTCACCCACTCCAATTGGGCCTGAGAACATAGCAGAGATGACTCCATTTTCATCTCTAAAAACACCCCCGATCCCTGATTGTCCCGGGTTTCCCCTACTGCATCCATCAAAATACCTATGAATCATTTTTTCCAAATACCTATTTTACCCTTTTGCAAATCAGTTTGCATCAATTTTTACTGAGATACCCCCATGTTATCCTCTTCCTCTCCCGTCGACCTCCTTACCCTCTTTTTCTATCCCTGAACTCTACCTTCAGAAGAGGAGGAATGCAGCACACAGCTCTTTCAATCTCTCATCCAAACTCCATCAATTCAAGGAGAAATGGCACACACCTCTTTATCCTCTTTTCCTTTCCGTTTTCTTTCATATGAACAAAGAAAAAAAAGGACAAGCCAAAACAGGTTGTTCCAAACCTTTTGCAGAAGCAAAGGTTACTAGGTTCCCGAAAAAAATTCATGCATTTCGTAAGAATCGTCTGTTAGCAGTCTTTTTGGCAAGGCCTCACTACTTAAACAATAGACTTGCAGGCGCAGCCTACATCTTTAACCTGGTCAGACAAATCCATGAGAGGGGGAATAAAGCTGGTGATTCTGAGATCTTCAATTGAACTTGGTACAGGATAAGGAAGAAATAGTGTAACCTTTCTTGCACAAGGTTGGGAAATGGTCTCATTTCAGTCAATCGCCAACTCCACCAGTGGTATTAAGACAATCAGCAGCAAAAAGGGGACAATCACTTCATTGTTGTTGAGGCCTCAACTCTACTTTGTAAGCTTGTACTTCCATGGGAGATATGAAAACATGCCCCTCTTGTGCAACATCTCCAAACTGCTCAACCTACCCAAGAATTTCTATATCATCATGTAAAAGTTTTTAAGTTGCCCTTGCATTCAGGACTGCAAGATCCTTGAACATGTAGAACAGATTAACAAGTTCATCAGCTATATTTGAACACATGGATCTCCCCTTCCCACAGCAGGCAAAATCCCACTGTCGCCTCTGTAAGATTAAAACAAATATCAAGTCCCCAATGTGATGCTAGGAGTATTTAAGGGCTGTGGTAATTTAAAGCTCACAATGTGTATATCACACGGTAAGGGAGTTTCCAAAGGAAAGAAGGATCTTGGTGGCTTCTGGACAGAGGCTTCCTGTGCTTTCTTAGCAATGAATGCCTGCATTGGGTAGTACAGATGGGCTCCAACATAACAGCAGAGAAGGGAAGGGTTGAATGGAATGATAGTAGAATTTTATTTTAAGTAGATGAGATATTGGACTTCTCGAGGATATGGAAGATTACATTCATTGGATGGTTAGCCAACACTCCTTGTCCAAGACCACGCCCATCATCTGCAACTAAACAGCGATCCATCATAATCTCAAGCCAACCATTTTTTGGCTCACAACACCCAGATTGATGTGTGTGGACAGAGAAACATTGACCACTTGAATCCTGCATAAAGGCAAGAGACGGTATTGGGTAGTAATTTCCTTGCAGAGGTATTTTACCCAAGGTTCAAAGTATCGATATGATACGCATACCGGCCGTATCGTATTGGTACTTAGAAACGGCCGAAACACCTTTTTTTAGTTTTTTTCAAATTTTGGTTTTTTGGGAAGCTTAAAATGTGTTTTGTATTATTAAAAAAAGTTGGGGGTCCGAAACACCTAGAAACAGGCGTTTCGGACCGTATCTTTTTCAAAAGATACGATACAATACACCCTGTATCGGGTGTATCGTATCGATACTTTAAAACATGAGTTTACCGTAAGTCTCTCTCCGTCCCCACCCCATCCCCGCCAACGGGGACAAAAATTTTCCCATCCCCATCCCCGCCCCATTCGGGGCGGATCCCCACGGGGATCGAGGAAATGGGGAAAATTGCCATCCCTAATTGTCAAGATTTGTTCTGAACCTAACTGTTAGTTCTTTGTCATTGACACTTAGGGGTAATTTCGTGTAACTATTGACATTTTCCATCCTAGACATTGACAAAAGGGAGTTTTTTGTTGAATTCTTTAAAAATCTAGGGGAGGATTTTGCTAAAGTGAAACTATAGGAGAGGTTTTTATGATTGCAGAAATTTCAGGGGAGGTGTTTGCATTTTACCCTTTTAGTAATTTGTTATAAAAATAATTTAATAATTTAGATTACATATATAAATATTTTTTAATAAAAATAATAAATTATTGCTAATTACTCAATAAATAATTATTTTTTCATTTTATCCGTTAGTTTTCTATTTTGTTTGTTTTACTTTATTAATCATTAAATGTTATAGTTAAATTAATCTATAGATTAACTTCTTTAGTCATAATTAAATTAATCTAAGTTCAAGCTCAAGGTTTAAGACTGTGAAACAAATCCTCATCCCCATCCTTGGTTGGGTATCACCATCAATCCCCATCCCTGCCAAGGCAATATCCATCCTCAGCCCCATCAGGTCAGGGAAGTTGAGTGGGTTCATGCCATGTGTCTAATGAACAATGGATACATTGCCAATAATGACTTTCCAAGAACTTTGCAATGTTGCTCTACTGACCAAAATAGTCAACCATTTTTATGAAATCCATATCTGCTCTTTATGATATGACTGAAAGCCAAATGAAACAAGATTCAATCAGGAATATCAAAAGCCGTTTTGCACAAAGATTTGCGCTTTTGACCCTCACCCTCCATAAACCTAAACCTCTATCCCATTATTGCAAATTTTATCCTAGTTCAACAAATGACCTGTTGTAGAATCACCTTCCCATAAGAAATCTGCACTCCATCCTCTTCACAACACTTATCAAACAAAAAAAAAAATCTAAGCCTTAAAAGCTTTTAAAAAAAAACAGTACAATGGCAATTAGAGAAGGTTGAAGAGCACACTCTAGGTTTCCTCCTAGGAGAAGGATAACATATTTACGGAACCATTCAACAACCTCACAACCTAGAATAACTTCCCTATCTTCACTACTTCCATTTAGACAAGTTCATTCCGATCCTGATACCCTTTCTACTGTCTCAAGAATGGTTTTTAGATTTCTAAAAATCCTATACCTCCTAAATATTCTCAAAAATGAAAGTGTCATCAGCAAACTGAAAATGGGATATAGCAATCTCCCCTCATGAACTCTAAAAATCCCTGAGAATGGCTCCATTAACCCTTTTATGCAACTTACACAGAACTTCTAACACTAGATTAAAGAGCATGAAGGAAGGCTTCCATTTTGGTCACAAGTCTTTCATAGTGATTGCATTTTATACTGTGGTCCATTGAACACTTAACATGCTTCCAAGTTATGGTTTCTAAAAGCGGTATTGCTAATATAGCTGTAAAATTGGAAGCTTAGGGGGGAGTGTATATGGTTATCCACTCTTCGTACTTTACTACCACTACAGTAAGTAATTTTTATCAGTGAAAAGCGTCTTACATACTAAATTATAAGATGTGCATTACCCAATAATATTTCGTACTATCTAGGGTATTGGGAGGCTAGACTTGATATGAACCTAAACCCTTGCATTTTTTACAAAGTGGTTCTTCCTAAATTTTAACTCACATTTCATGTTTGTCAGCCCAAGAATTTAAAATCGCACCAAGCAATAGACCCTATAAAATAAAAAGTATCCAAGTGGCAAATAATATGCAACATTACTAGTGACTCCGAAAGTGGCAAGTTAAGTGGAAGAACATGAGAATGGGAGAACCATCGAATGACAAACCTGAGGCTCCT